AATAAAATTCATGCATGCACGAATTCCTGATTCTACTACTAGATAAACATAATAAATAGAATAATATTCTCAGATAATTATTTAGTTACTATCCATGTCAGACTTAGTTAAAAATTAAAAATAAATTAGAGTAAAAACCTCTTGTATGTAAGGGTTAAACAATATAAACATTAAAGAAAAAATAATTTTAAAAAATAATATTTTACTCATAATTAAATAATTTTATTTTATACAATATAATAATGGCTATTTTTCTTATATTCTTAAAAACAAAAAGTACAGTTTACCAAAAATTATAAAAAAACTTTGAACTAATCAGGAACAATGATTTTAAGTTAGCAATCTAAACGTAATTAAATTGAGATCAACTTGATACTAATTAAAATAATATAATTTAATTAAGATATATAAAAATATTTATATATGAACATAATAAAAGCAATGTTTAAACAATTACGATATTAATTTATAAGTAAAGAAAATATTCTTGAATAAAATATACATAATACAACGAAATAGTAATAAAGTTACTTAAGTACAAAATTGATAAGTTATTATTTTTTATTTTATTCTTTTAAAGTTAAAATAATATTTTATGCTTGACAGAATTATTTAAAAATTAAAATTTATTCAAAAAATATTTTTAAAAAGTTATAGGTTTTCAAGCCAGTCTGAATAAGCCCTAAGCTCAAAGGTATTAAGGTTGGGCTTGATTATATGAGTTTTTTAAAAGAGGTAGGATACGTTAAATTCTATTCGAATAAATTCGGCTTGAAAAAGTCCAACCTACCTGAATTATTGACTCTAACTTTTAGTAAAACTTCTCCTCATACAACAGAAGGAATTTGTAGGTAATTTCTTGTGGTAAACTTGCCACAGGAAATGCCTGACCCTTTCAAGAATTTGTAGGCCCACACCATAGTTTATGCCACTACATGTCTGTTTGTCGTTCATTGGCTCTGGATATTTTCTTATATGCAGAATGCACATTGAAATTTCCATCTGATGAAGTACACCAACAAAATTCATCCCTCTCCCTTCTATTAGGGGGTTTCACCATCATGATTTTACCAATAAACCACTCAAGGAGGAGCTATCACCAAGCACCCAAATTCCATCTACCATTTAACACAAAACTGTCAGACCGTAGCTTCAGGGTTCAAGAGGTGATGACTTTTATCCACATAATGTATCAAAGGTCTGTCCAGGGGACACCGGAGATGCCACCCAGCATTTGTAGTCTCACTACTCATGATTTTCCTGCCTAAATATTTATAGAAATCATGCCAAACCGTTGTAATCCCTTTCCAAGCGGCAAATTGACTCCGTTTCTTCATGACTTTAGGAATGATATTATCACCACCCTCATATTTAGGCTTTAAGCATGGGACCCATAGAGCATTAGGGTTCATGAGTATTCTGTATTCCCCAGCAGAGTTTCATCATAAAAGCAGCATTTTGATTTATAAGATCTTTATTACCAAGACCACCCTCAGTCTTGTCTTTTTTGATTACCTCCTTGGCAATGAGATGCATCTTTCGGCTATCACCAGCTTGATTCCAAAAGAAATCTCTGCTTAATTTTTCAATCTCATTGAGCAAATTTATATTATCTATGACATCAAGGATGGAAAAGACAATTTAACACACAAAGATAAACTAGCTGATTGAAATATACGTAACAACCTGCCCCCCCCCCCCAAAAAAAAAAAACATCATTCATTGCTTCAAATTTAAACATCATTCAAGTCAAAAATTTTAAATTTAACTAGTACAAATTAAATCTGTATGATCAATTTATAAAAAATTAAAATTAAATTTAGACTCATCTGATTAAATATGAATGATACATCTTAATAAATATATTTATTAAAAATTTTATAAAATTTTATTTTAAAACTAAAAAAGTAATTTAATCTGGACCAGATTGGTTCAGGGATGCTGATGAGCACCAAATGTGCTCCCTATAATTAACCAAGTAAAGAAGTGATTTGCAATATACTGCCGTTGGATTTTCTTTGGCCTTTTTTTTTTTTTTTTTGGGTATTAGAAAGTAGCCAGTAACCTGAGATATGGTTTGGCTGTCATGCTCATGCGTTGAGATTTGAGAATCAGAGAAAGAGTGTGAAACTCGTTAAATGACTTAAATCCCCCAAGGAGCGTCCGCGGATAGTTTTATTTAATTAACTAAATATTATGGTAAAAAAACTATGAATACTGAAAGTGATAACGCAAAGGTCGCGGGTAAGAGTATGACAAGTGCCTTCTTGACAGCTCTTGTATTCTAAAAAAATCATATCTGTGCTGTAGAGGAGTGAGTTCCACTTAAAACTAGAAGTCTTGAACTTCCTTTTTCAAGGATAAGCGAATTGATAATAATTTTGAATTGTTTGTAAATTAATTTCTGCTGATTAATTTCTTTTGATATTATTAACTATTAATAATAACAATAATCACCGTCACTAGCCGTTAGAGGAGCGCACGGCCGCCTGAGGCCGAAGAGGAAACTGAGGGGGCAATTCTGGAATATCGTTCCCAATCTGACCGTTACGAGATTCGAAAAATGGGGCCGTTTAAAACAACCACGCCCCTTGTTCCTTCTGATACTGTTCTTCTTCAATCGCTAACATCCTCCTCTGCGTCTCTCACTTTTTTCTCTCTGAATGGCTGAATCCGATCCTCAGAGCACAAGATCTTCAATCATGGAATGGAAGCACCTGCACCCACTTCACCAAATCGCAGAAACCCCAACCCATAGGCTTCTTCTGAAGCAATGGCTCAAAGAGGAAGACCTCATCCTCAGCCGAATCGCACTCAAAGAGACCCAAATCGACTCTGTTCGCAAGGAGATCACGATGCTCTACATCTTCTTCTTCCTGTTTCACTCCACATCTCTCATGCTCCTCTTCAACACCGCATCTTCATCCAAACCCCACGTGGAAAAGGCCTGTCACAGATCGTGGATCCCATCTCTATGCTCTCTGTTCTTCTCTCTGGGGCTCATCTGGGCCGTGAGGTACAAGAGCGACGTGGAGTCTCACATGGAGAAGCTTCTGGAGAGGGAGAAGGAGGACAGGAGCTTGCTGGGGAAGTGTGTGGAGGAGCTGAAGAAGAAGGGTTTGGAGTTTGATTTGCTGAAAGAAGTTGACGCGTTGAGAAGGGCCAAGAGCTTGAGGGTTGAGGCTAAGGAGGTTCTGAAATGGTCTTCCAGGGACTTTGTGTCTCTGTTTTTCTTCACTCTGTCTTGCTTGTGTCTTGCAATCGCAAGGGTTATTTTGTGTAGTTAGGACGCTTTGATGACTGATGGATTCATTTCTTTTGAATTTTTGTTATGGGGAATGGAGACGGGTGCAGAATGTTCTCTTCTGCTATTTTTTGCAATGTGAAAGATAGTCAAAGTCAGATTGTGAAATAAATTGGATCTGATGTTCAAATTCTGGTTTATATTATGTTTGTGTTGTTTCCTACCTTCAACTTGTCAGGAAGTCGGATTGCTTGATCAAGATTTAGATTCGCAGTCTAAAGCTGCAGATCATGTTTCTTGGGGGCGATTTATAGTTTGTACAGAGCTTTTTAAGTATATCTGATAGGAGAACCGATTAATTCCAAAGGCAAATATAAACATGTTAAAAAGTGAATGATACTTGAAAAATGAAAAGATAAGTATATCAGGCGAAAGTTACGAGCTTTTTTTTTGGGTACAAGTTACGAGCTTTTTTCCGAGCATAATAAATTGGTTGAATCAAGCCCAGGCCTACTAAAGCAAGCATCAAGCAATTCGGATTGTACTGATGAAAAATATAAAAAGGGACTTCCGGCATATTTGTCTTAAAATTTAAAAATTAATATTAAAATACATTTTAAACATTATTTTAAATATTTATATATTAAAAATAATAAAAATATGACAATATACATATTTTTAAATAGCTATAATAATGTACTCAAATATATCATATCTTAATATAAAGTAACTTAAAATTTAAAAAATTAATTAACATTTAATATATTTTATATGTTTTTAAAAATGTAATTTTTATTTGAGTATTTGAGCTAAACTTAAACCCAATTAAACTTGGAGCAAATTTTTTTTAGCCAGCATGAATAGAGCCAAACATTGAAAAAGCATTACTTTATTAAGGCTAATCCCAAATATTTTCAAGCTGACTCATCACACTTACCCAAACTATTAACTCTACATAATACCATTGGCCAAATAAATTGATTGATCCAATTCATTGCTTGTTGCTTTCAAACTTTCAAGGCACAAGAAAATAGAAAAATAAAATGTCCTTGGCACTACCGTGAAAATAAGAGTGCTAGGAATTTCTTTGTATTTTTTTTTTTTTGGAAAACACAACCTTTAATCCTTATAGTTCCATCATATTTTATTTTTAATTTTTGTAATTTTTTTTCTAATGTTTTAATTTTTATAATTTCAAAAAGATTGAATAACATTTGTTTTTCAAATTCACATAATTTTCATTTTTTTCAGTAGTTTTAATTCTTATAGAGACTAAAAACACTAAAAAAAAATTATAGAGATTAAAAGCAAATTTTAATGAAACTATAAAGATTAAAAATTATACTTTTTCCTTTCTTTTTTAAATTTTGAGATACATACCGAATATTTTTGGTCAAAAAATGAATGCCTAATGAATACAAGGAAAAGAAACAAAAGAAAAACCTTGTTGAAAGCCCCAACCCTACAGATCATGTATCAATTGTTGCAAAACCATACTTAGGTTCTAAGAGCCCCCAAAGTAACTTATAAGGAGCCTTATGAAACATGAAAAAATAGAAGTAATCTTTAGTATCTTCTTGTTTCAACATACTGAGTAGAAAAGTAGTACCAGAAATTAACATTCCAATTATTCTTTGTCTGAAACTAGTTCTTAGGAATTTGGATCAGGATTCAGGAATGGTTTGATCATGGGAATTCCAACTCAACCCCGACATAATTAGCACGACTAAAATGACAAATAAGTCTGGAGGCAACATGGCTAAAATGTATATCTTTTCATATAAGCCATTCAGACCTTGATCAACCACCAATACAGTGGAACATAATGAATAGACAGAACTTCACATGCCAATCATTGGCAGGATATACGGAAGACAACAGATGATGGAACATTGGACAGACTAATACAAATTTGTTGTCTTTTGAATGACAGTTATAATACTGTAGATGCTTCATTAATTTAATCAAAATCACTAAAGAGAAACTGTTCGTCTATATAGTTTTTCATCATCACTCTCCTCTTCCTCATCTGACACCATCTCATTGTCATTACCTGGTAGCGCTAACTTCCCACCCATACAGAATGATGGTCCTGTACTTTCAGTTTCAATGTAGTTGCCTTGTAATCTCTCTTCAAATCTCTGGTCACTACAATTTAGCATCCAATTTAATGAAAACCTTATCCCCTTGCTTTTCAACTTCTGGTATCTGGGTTTGATCCGGGATTCCAGGCTATATGTAAAGTATTCTGGGAACTCCACAAGCTCTTTTATGGGTCTCCCCATCTCACTCTTGAAGAAGTAAAAACTGTTCTTCATAAGCTCAACTCTTGATGCTATTAATTGAGGACATCTGATCACCATATTGGCCACATCATGCGACGGTATTGCCCTTGCAAGGAGGAATTCAACTGGTTTCATTATCACATGTTGATTAAGGCTGACCACCTGCGGCATTTTCTCTATCACTTGTGCAAATCCTTCAGGATCAATCTTAAGCTTCAAACTGAGGAAGTACTGCTGTGAAGACAATTTAGCCTTGAGAGGCAGCCCAAGAATCGGTGGATATTGAGCAATAACTAAAGGCAGTGATTCCTTCCTAAGTCCAAAACTAATCAGACAATCCACATTAGGTTTAACAGTCTCCTCAAGATTGTAGCCAAGTATATAGGGTCTCTTCTCCAACATTCTAGCAATAATTTTCTTGGGCAGCCCTAAAGAGACCAAGTAATCAGTCAGAGGTTTAATCACGGTCCCCACTCTCATTCCCAAAAAATATGGGTACTGTGTCACCATGGGACCAATATCTCTAGGATTGACACCAATACTAACAAGATAAGCCACCGAAGTACTCATTGTACCCTCAAGCTTGAACCCCAGAAGCTCAGGATACTTTTGCAACACATATCCAATGTCCTGTTTCTCCACATCAAGTCCTCTTAGGAACCTAACAACCGGAGCTAGCTCAACAATCACGCTTGCATGTAAAACTTGTGGGTACATTTTTATGAATTCACCGAGCTTTGACCTTGGAATTCCAATTTTTTCTAAGTACCCCAATACAGGTATAATATTCTTCCTCACACTGCAACCCAGCATCAAAGGATACTCATTAATGTCATCAATGGTTAAGCCCAACTTCTGAAGAAACTCAACACGCTCCCTCATGACCTCAACAGTGGAAGGAATCTCCAAGTCATGCAATTCATCAGGAATGACTCCCAAACCCTTCAAATAATCAAATATGATTACCCGCGAAACAAGTTTCTCTTTCCGTCCCTGGATCACGCCCCAGGTAACAGAAGGCATCTCATACTCAGGAAATTTGGATGCCTGCGTTGAATACGATGCATGGTATAGCAAAAGCCTAAAAGGGTTCAGGGTTTTGAGGAAATCAGAAGAAGGGTATGTAGGAGAGTGCATTGAGTGAGAAATCAAACCGAATTCATGGGAAATTAACTGGGAAAGTATAGAGCTTGAAAAGAGATTGGTGATCTTTTTTCTTCTGAGCATTGACATCATGTACCAGAAGGATATTGAAATTGGGAATAAGTGTGATAACGAAAATAATGAATCCAAGAACTGAAGAAGTGCAGGATAGCAACTAAGAAGCACTACCTGAGATTTACCCTAAGTTTGGATTTTTTCCCCCGTTTTCTTTCTTTTTTTTTTTGGGGGGGGGGGTGGGGCAACGCAAAAATTTTAATGGAAGGGAGGGGAGGGGTTTTGATGTTTAATGTTACCTTGTTTATTTCAGGAGGGGAGGAGAGGGAAAATAATTATATTATGGACATCAGGAGTGCACAATAACATGCAATGAGACAAGTGTAATGAGCTACAAGCCTTCGGCGCATATCCACCCATTCGATCAAGAAGTCATCAGATTCCATCTAAAAAGAAAAATACTTGTTATTGAAACAGATTCCAACATCAGATTACATCAAAGAAAAATCAACAGAACATTCAAGTTAAAATATTCCAATTAAAATAAATACGGTTCTAGAAGGGTTAGAATATCCAGATAGCAGCTATAGGACCATAAAACAGAACCCAGCAACTTTTGTGAGGTTACAACCTATGGTTGTAGAAACAATACTCAAAAATGTTCAAGTGGTAGATATGAGATGAGCCAGAAGATTAAAAAGATAATATTTACAGTTGTGCATGCTTTATACACTAATACATCAATCGAGGATCAAAGCTGCGTGTGTATGTTTGGGGGGAGGGCGTTCTTTAAAAAGTTGTTACAGCAAATTTATAATAGCCAATCAACCCAACAAAAGCCTCCATACAACTATAAGGACACACAAGGATTTAGAATTGAGAAATGGATAATTCAATGTAAGAAAAGAAAAACAGAGAAGGGTTGCAAAATTAAGACAACACATTAATAGATTAAGATAAATAAATGAGTTTCGTTCAAGTCATTAAGATAGATTAAGATAAATAAATGAGATAAACAAATCAAAAGACACAATGAAATTTCCGGCAGCGAAGCTTATCCAGTATCCATTTAGAGCCGAATAACGACTATTTAGAAAGCTAGTTCTTCAAAAGATCTTAAAACCTCTCAAAAATCACCATAAAATTTCAAAACCAAGAGACTATTATAGAGATCACATATAGATAATTGGCTAAACCAAGCAGAGTCTTGTACTTCCCAAGAGAAGTGTATAATCATAATCATAAATTATAATAGAAACAACTCCTGGTACAAACCAGATGAAATAGAGAGAAGATATAGATATAAGAAACAAAAGCAGAAATCTTTTAATTGCATTCAGACTCTCTGCTCAGATTGCTCAAGTAGCTCCGCAGAGAATCTGAACGCCTTGAGCAGAACGGGACGAAGGTGATGGAGAAACAAGTGAAACCTGTGAAAATGGCGACGGAGAAGCGGGTGGCGACGGCAACGAGGGCTGCAACGGGGACGACGGACACTCTGCAGGGTGGGACGACCGGACGATGGTGACGATAGGGTAAAGGTTGACGATAAATGAAGTGGATTGGGTCTTATTTGGGGCGGGGTATTTTTGGATTATCAAAATGTGTCATGGGTAAATTAGTCACGATGCAATAAAATTATACCCCTACCCATCCATTGTCCCCGGCTATTTTGCTGTTGCTTGTTGCTGCACGTCGGATCCATCTCTCCGCCTGTAATCTTGGATTTGGCCTTGTCTCCATTTTTGTTCTCTCTTTCTCAACTTCTTCTTCACTTCTCGTTTTAATTATTAGATTCATTTTAAAAAACTTGCTGAAATTATTTTTTAATTATAAAAATAATCTTGAATTATAGTTTAAATGAAATTTTTTATATTTTAAATTTATTTATTTATTTATTTTATAAATTTTATATTTTAATAATAATTTTATGAAGTATTAAATCTCAACATTTAAAAATAAATTCAGAGTTAGGATAGAAAATGAAGAAAACATGGAGAGGGGATAAATAGAGAGAAGGTCCATTACTATCTCCATGTTCTTTCCTGCCGATGACAATGGGAAACAATTTGGGGTTTATATTTGATTTTTTATTAAATATTATTATATAATGAAATATTAAATAAAGGATAATTTTAAAAGTTTATATTTTTATTTAGAAACATTAATATTATAAAATATATTTAATAAATTTTATTAATATATACATATATATATATATATATATATAATTTTATCTAAAAGTATATTATAATTTGGAATGGGAGTGAGTTTTATGGTGTTGGTAAACAATCTCTTTTATAATTGGATTACAAGTTTTTAGAATATCTATAACTGAATGATAGGATTTTGTTGGTAGGACTTTTGGACTTTTTTTTCTTTAATCTTTTTATGTTAGTTAGTAAATGTCTTAAAAAAATCAGTGAGAAAAGTTTATTAATGATATTTAATTATTTACATTATATGCAATATATAAATCTTTTGTCTTTTTTAACAATTATAAATGATGGTTTCAAAAAATTATACTTAATTATGTATATTTAAAAAATTATAATTTAAAAGTTTAATAATATTTCATGAAAAATCATATCAGAAACAAAAATATTTATCATAAAATTCAATCCTGTTTTTAATCCTTGCACATCTAAATTTGCTTTTAAATTTTATTATCTATACAAGTTTTTGTTTATCAAACTTATTTTTTTAAAAAATATATCAATATAAATCGTGTTAAAGTTATTAATTTTTATCCTAACTTTAATGTATTCTAACTTCAGTTTTGAAACTTCCTAACCATGCACCATTAGCGTGAGTCTGGTAAATTTGTAATGGGTCCAAGATTTTTTCATATAAAAAAGGATTGGGTTTTAGCTTATTCAGACATGAAAGGCTATTGCCGAACAATAAGTTTTCAGACACTGTCTGCAATATTTTGTCTGTGGCCCAAAAAAAAAAAAGAATCAATTTTGGACAATTTTTACAATTTTGTTAATTTTTACTAATATTAAGATTGGCAATATAGACTTGAGACCAATAATCTTGGGCCATTCCAGGTCCTTGGGTCTAATGGAATGAGTCCAACCTCCAATCCTTTTTAGTGTTAGTTTCACTAGAAATCAGTTCATCAAAACTTATTTAACAAAATTTTTCCACGCTACATCCATCATTAGAAGGAAAAGAAATCAGATCATTTCTCTTAAAAATGATGATGACATTTGGGTGGAAGACCATAATACTCTTAAGAACATGGCTGTATTCTTCTTTGAAGACTTCTTTAAAAAAGACAATGATGACAAACCTAAACTTAATACAACTGCTTGCTTTCCACCTCTTTCTCCTGATCAACTGCAATCCTTACATAAGGAGGTGACTGATGAAGAAATTAAAAATGCTGCCTTTGATTTTGGGGCATTTAAAGCTCCTGGACCTGATGGCATTAATGCAGGATTCATTCACTCTTATTGGAAGGATCTTAAAGACAGCATCTTTAATATGGTTAAAAAGGTCTTCAGAGATCCAGAGTCTATAAAGGAAATTAACAAAACTTTCATTACTTTGATCCCTAAGATTGATTACCCAACTTGCATGAAAGACTTTCGGCCTATCTCTCTTTGCAATGTGATCTATAAAATAATCACCAAAATTCTATCCACAAGATTACGTACTTGCATGAACCACTTAATTAGTGATTACCAAAGTAGCTTCATTCAGGAACGGCAGAGCAGTGACAATATTATTATTGCTTAAGAAGTCATTCATTCTATAAGGAAAAAAACTGGAACAAAAGGTTTTATGGCCCTTAAGGTGGATCTTGAAAAAGCTTTCGACAGACTTTCATGGAACTTCATTGATGATACTCTTATATCCATTGGGATAAACAATCACTTCAGGAAATTAATTCTTGCTGCTATCTCTACCACTCGTATGAAAGTTCTTTGGAATGGTGAACTAACAAAAGAATTCACTCCTTCACGTGGCATTCGTCAGGGGGATCATCTTTCTCCTTATCTTTTTGTCCTTTGTATCGAACGTTTGAGTCACTATATTATTAGTAGTATCAATAGGAGTGATTGGAAACCCATTAGACTAACTCCTAATGGGCCTCCTATCTCCCCCTTATTTTTTGTTGATGATTTGTTACTTTTTGCAGAATTATCTCTCTCTCAAACACAAATCATTCTCCAATGTCTTTCTGATTTTTGCAACGCATCCGGTTAACACTAGCAAATCCAAACTTTTCTGCTCTAGAAATGTCAATTTTAATAGAGCTTTGCAAATTAGTGAAAATCTTGGAATTTCTCTCATTGGTAATCTAGGAAAATATCTTGGGATTTCTATCATTTATGAGAAAGTTACAAGGCTTAACTTTGCGCCTTTAATTGAAAAGATGAACTCTCACTTGATAAATTAGAGAAGTCGATATCTCAATATTGTGGGAAAATCTATTCTCATAAAATCTGTTCTATCAGCTCTTCCCAACTATACCATGCAAACTATGCTTCTGCCTGATAACGTGTTAGCAGAATTGGACAAAATATCCAAAAATTTTCTCTGGGACTCTTCTAACAGGAGGAAAAAAACCCTACCTTCTCTCTTGAGACTGCATCACTTCTGATAAAAAGGTTGGCAGTCTTGGTATTAAACATCTTAAAAGCCAAAATATTGTTTTTATTATGAAGTTGTGTTGGGGTATTCTCATTAAAATAAATTATCTTTGGGTGAAGGTCTTGCGAGATAAATACAATTGCAGCATACCGACTATCCCTATGGTTGTTAAACCTAGTTCTTGCTCATATACCTGGAGTAGCATTTGCAAAATATGGGACAATTTCATGACTTTTATTGGTTGGAAAGTTGGGAAAGGAGACAAAATTTCCTTTTGGTATGATAAATGGACCTCTCTCCCTGATCCACTTGTCAACCATGCCTTTCATAACGTCGATTCTATTCTTCATGCGCAAGTTTTGAATTTTTGCAAACCTAATGGAGGTTGGAATTTAGATCTTATAAGGAGATACTTGTACCCGAATATTATTAATCATATTGCTCTAGTTCAACCTCTTAACACTCAAAGCGCAGAGGACACTCTTATTTGGAGACCATCTTCTGATGGTAACTTTTCTATTAAATTTGCCTACACTGTAATAGAAAATCGGAAGACTCAGGAGCACAATAATTTATGGTCCAAAATTTAGGAATGGCCTACTTATGAAAAGATCAAGTACTTCCTTTAGAAAGTAGCTTAGGATCGTCTACAGATAAATTTTATGCCCTCTAATGGGAACACTATGCAACAACGTACTTGTCAGCTAGGTTGTAACTCTCCTAACTCTTCTATTCATATTTTAAGAGATTGTAAAGATGCTAAGAAGGTTTGGGAAATGTTAGTTAAACCTTCCAAACATAATATCTTTTTCTCTCTTTCTTTACAAGACTGGATTATTTGGAATGCTAATAATGAAGCAGACAGCAGCCATTCTAGAGGATTGCCCTGGAAGAAACTTTTTGCTCAAGCTTGCTGGAACATCTGGAAAATAAGATGCAAGGAAGTTTACTCTGAAGATAAAAATCTGGACAAAGACATTGCTTTCTTAAGCACTCAGCAAATCATAAGTGATGTTTAGCTTCAATCCAAGCTTGACCATCTGAGCAATTTCAATACCAGACATGAAGCTACTTGGAAGCCTCCAAATCCTGGATGGGTGAGACTTGATGTTGATGGTTCGCGCAAACCTAATAGTGCTGCAGCATGTGGAGGTCATATGAGGGACGACAAGGGTAACTGGATCAAAGGTTTTACTAAAAACTTTGGTTACCAACACACTACTACTACCAAGCTTATGGGGATTCTAAAAGGGCTAAACATTTGTTAAAACGTAAAGATTCTAAAAATCAACGTTTATTCTGATTCCATGGAAGCCATTTCACTCATTAATGGTCCCTCGGTCCAAAATCATCCTCTATCAAAAATCATCAAAAGCATTAGAAATCTCATTATGAGGAGTTGGGAGGTCACTCTAGAACACGTCCACAGAGAGGCAAACTGTTGTGCTGATCTTCTGGCTCATAAGGTCTCTAGTAAACATTTTGATATTACTCTATTTGATGTTGCCCCAACAGATTGTAGAAGTATTATGTCTTCTGATATGACTTGACCTTGATCTTTTTGCCGGTATTTTTACCGTGGCCTTGTAATCAAAATAAAAACTTATTTAACAAAAATTGGTTTGGTAAAAATTCATTTAACAAGACTAACTGTTTCAGCGGGTAAAATGAAACGAGAAGTAGTTAAATTTTTTTACAAACAATTTTAAAAGCCAAAGATTAAAATGAAAAATAACTTTCAAGAACTTTCTTTACATGTATTTTGAAAAATTTTTAAATGTACCTTCTCAAATGAGCTTTAAAAGATTTTTTAATAATCAAATAACCTTTAGCTTTTAAAATTCACAAAAGTCCTTTTCAAATGTCAAAAATAAGAAAACCAAACAAACTCTTAATCACATTCTTGCCATTGCAACAAAATAAATTGAAATATATCAACAAAACATTATTCAGTGAGTAAATATTTGACCCTATCACTTA